CCCCAAAACCCCAAAACCCCAAAACCCCAAAACCCCTCAACTTTTAATTTTGATTGATTAATCCAATTAATTACGAAAATGGGCAGCAAATTATGTTGGAGTAACCAAGATTTAGGAAATCGCAGGAATACAGAGACATCTATATCCTACAGAGGTAGCGAACTCATTGTTATTCCTTGAAAGGAAAATAATTGTGGCCAAACTATCATTATGTCTCAAAATAGCAACTCTGAATCATTTGCAAAACACAATTGATATTACCAAGAGAAGCCAGCTGAAAATTATTCAATCAGACAAATGAGTAACAAATTCAGCTCGACTATACTTAAATCTGAGAACTCAACCTCTTACGAGAAGAAGAAGGTAAATAATTAAAAATAACCTACATAGCTCCTAATAACTGCTGATACCAGAGCTTCTCACACAAAAAGACTATTTTCGAGCATAAACAGTGAAAATAATATGTAGTCTCATTTAAACTTTCTTCATAAACATTTTAAGCCTGTAACCTCTCCTTCCTTTATCTCTCAGAGTTTGAAAACTTCTTTGGAAATATTGGTCAATTATTCTATACTGATCTTACAGTGTGATCACCTAATCTCTTTTGTAAACTCCAATTGTAGCCTATCTTTCCTAGATATTTCAACATATCCCTTAAACTAATACTCCTGAGTTTGCCTATCCCTTGGTTTTGCTAAAACTTTGAGTTTCAAACACCAAAGGCGATTTGAGGCAATAATGAGTCTATTCTTCATTAAGTCTGCATATTTGGAATATTAATCTCCTCTCTCAATATGCTGGGATCAAGCAACTCTTATGTTCAGTTTGCCATTTTAACAAAAGAGTAAGTCTGCTTCCTTTATAAGTCTGGCCAATGAAGCCTGGTAAAAATCATAAAAACATGGCAAGAGTAAATCTGTTCCATTCATGATTAGTATTATCTATTCCGACAATTTTTCTAAAGAGTGTTCAAAATCATCTCCAATTTTTTAAAGAAAAGAGTGCCAAAATTTCTGGCTGTACTTATTTTGCTTAATGCCTAGGGCTAAGCAACAAATAACAAAATATAGCCATCAGATCCTACCCAACTCATGAATCTTATTTCATGTTTTTAAATTTATTTTAACAGCTGTTTCCAAATAGAACAGTATAGGATGAATATACTTCTAAAAATTTGGAGACAATTTATTCTATCTTCCCACTCCACTATGTTTCACAATCCCAAAAATATCTTAAACACCACTATAGCTGGGCCAAAGATTCCTCATATGGGCAATTAAAAGATATGCTTTTCAAAGATATGTCGATCCAATATTTCCCTGCTTGGAGAAAGAAGTGTCAAAGCTAATAATATTTTAAACAACTCTTTCCACCATAGTATTAACGGTAAATATCTTATTCTTCTAAGCCTTCCATATTTATGCCTCTTTGTAGTAGTGGCAAGCCATTGCATTAAATCAAGAATAGATACAACCACTTCTGCTAAGGCCATTGCAGAAAGCCATGAAAGTTGAAAGGTTGGTTACATTGGCTACTTTTAAAGAAAACAAGATTCTGATCAAGCCTTAAAATCCTCTTTTCCTTGAAAAGCACTCTAAACAGACGTAAAATAAGTTGAAACTAATTTGATTTACAAAAATCTCATAAGTTGTATAGTTTTATTTAAGTTAGGTCTCGTGCACTTTAATATGAAATTGAATTCCATACTGCAGAATAAACTCCTAAATCAGTTTTAGTAAAGCTTATATCAAAGAATCTGTACTCTTTCGATGCTATTATATATAAACCCTAACAACATAATTACAAAAAGAACAGTTAAATTCAATCTTTTTCAAAATTTTAAATCATAATCAACCCCATTCTATAATAATTTGTTTGCATTACTCTTAAATTCCTCTCATCCAAGAACTCCTATATCAACAGTATCACTATAAAACTCCTAAATGCTCAACCTCTTTGCTAGACCCAACTGTCTTTACTGTAATCAAAAGTAACCAAGATCTAAATAGTAGAATTACTTCGGCCACCAATTCAAAGAACAACGATTATCCAGTCCAATAACTAAAAATAGGAGAGTTATCAAAGACTTCACCCACATAGTTTAGCGTGCACCCTTACCTAAATAAATAGTTAAGAAAGTGAAGAAGAGCATAATAAGAAGCCTTGGCGCTTTGGTCATGACCAGAAAGCCCACAGACCATCATTCTGTAGTTGTGCACAAATATTGACATCCAGGATTTGATCTTAGTTCGACTCGAGACATAATACAGGTGTCAGAGTTTTAATGAGTTGTTGAAATAGTTGTGGAGAAGTACTAGCATCTCACGATTTTCGTACCTGAAATTAATTTCTTAGCACTAGAGAGAAACAAAGATTTCTTTGGCATTAAGTATCTATACTTTGCTTCTGGAAATGCTAAGGAGTATGCTTAGAGTTGATGAATCGTTTGTATGAAATATTTCCTTATAGAACAAATTAATACCCCTTCTTTTAAGAATGATACTATTTATTAAATACCAGAGTTTTCAGGATTCATGGCAAAAAGCCAAATTTCTGAAAACTCTCTTTTCAATCCTCAAATTCCAATAATCAAGAAGTAACCAGTTTTCCAAAAGACTTAGAAATGAGTTCACATTCAAACTACAGAAAAGCTGGTCCAAAAAATAAGCCTGGTAGTTACTCCCCTCAGCAAACTTCGATTTTAATAAAGTTGTGTTTCTAGATTTAAAGCACTTTCTCATTAAGACATGTAATATTGTAGGAAAAATACTATGAGCAACTGGTAGAGATACTCATATAAAAAGGTACCAACTTATTTTCAAAAGTTTGGTTACATTTCTTCTAATTAGACTAGATTTATTGAGATAATGAGACTTACTGAAGTACTTAAATTGAGCCAAAATTATATAAAAGAGAGCTTCTGAAAACATAATTTAGGTAATTTGATAAATACACTCAAGTCTACGATTTTTTCCTGTTTGAATAAACTATAACCTGGGCTCGATTTTTAACGATGGCACTTCCGAAGAATATCCATGCAACTTTTATAAAAATTTAACTTTGGTAATTCGTAAAACTTATCCAAGAAAAGGGATTACTCCTTGGTAACTATTTGATCTAAAGAGTATTATAATCTAGAAATACATAGCTTAAACTCTTAAAGAGATTAAAAAGAGTTCTGGAGTTTCATTTAAAAATAAGACTTAACTAAAACCACATTAATTATTCAAAAGGATTATGGATTAGTCTCTCCTCAAAATTTAATTTCTGATTGGCCATCTCCTTTACTAAAGCTAAATTCACCTGATTAAGCATCTCAGAGTTATATTCAGTCTATTCCTCTCTTCCCATCTTGTTATAACCTGAGTGAAATTGAGAGTTTGAGAGGAGTATCCAAAATCATATAAATAAAGAAAACACTTCAAAATTTCCAAAACCAATTGTATTCTAGCATGAATTCTTGATCAGATATGCTCAAATATCCGATAGAACAATTAGCTTACCTTAAAAGTTTGCAAACCACCTCTAGACCTCTTCTTTTTGTGTAAATAAAAAGTGGAATACTTAAGTGTTGAGGAGAGAGATTTTTTTACCATCAAACATTTAGACAGAAAAATGATTGCTTAATTGGTTCAGCCTTGACTCCTTAGAATTAACCAAATAGTTGATCAATCACTCACTAATACTCCAGGATTCAAGTACATACAAGCAACTAGGGCATGCTAATTCAGTATCTCCGATGAGCTCCCAAACTACAATCATAATCTATTCCTCCTAATCAATAAGACCTTCAAACATTAATTCCAACCGAATGAAATAGTTTAACTATTGACAGCAACGTCATCAGCATAATTAATAAAAGTGCAAATATTAAATAAAAAAGACCCAATACAAATTAAGGTCAATGGGGTTTTGGGGTTTTGGGGTTTTGGGGTTTTGGGGTTTTGGGGTTTTGGGGTTTTGGGG